AAAAAAAAAAAAAAAAAAGAAAGAAAGAAAGAAAGAATGTAGACTGGATAAACAAAATATGGTATGTATGTATGATGGAATATTACACAGTCATAAAGAAGAACGAAGTCATGGTCTTCACAGCAACTGGGATGCAGCTGGAGACGATCATACTAACTGAACGATCACAGAAACAACTGAATACCACATGATCTTATTCATAAGCGGGCTCTGATCCCGGCCACATGAGCACAAGGGTAGGATTAGCAGATGCTGGACACTGTTGGGGAGGGGAAGGACACGTGGCATTACACTGGGTATCTGGTTCACTAACAGGGGGAGAGAGGGCCAGCTACAAGCCCAAACTTCACCTGCATGCAACCTACTTATGTAGTAAATTTTCACTTGTACCCGAGAACTCTAAAATAAAATATAATTTTTAAGAAAGAAGATGACTCTGGGAAGGGATGGAGGTGGCACCAAGGCAGCCCACTACTCTGCATCTCAATGCACTCTCTCTCGCTCATCTTCCTCCCCCTACCAAAATCTCTGACACACTCAAGCTCTGGCTCATGAGAAAAGCACAGGATGACCAAGATGCTCCGCACGGCTCTGAAGGAGCATGGGGTCTGGCCAGCAGGAGTGCAATCCTCTACTCGCCCAAGCCCACAACAGAGACAGAAGGAGGATGAGACAGAAGTATAGCTGCATCTCTCTATTCTATGTCAGGATCTTGAAAAGGCAAGGTTTTGCTGGAAAGGACTACATTGACTTGACTGAGAAGCTGCCTGAAGCATTTGGTTAACAGATCAGGGTCTGTTGACCGCACAGCTCTTCCCACTGGCCAATCCTAAGGGAGACCAGAAAGAATAGCTTTCTGTGTTCTTCTTCCTGTCTCTCCTCCACCCTTCCCTCTTACATCATGTTCTAGGAACAACAGATCAGGGGTGTAGATCAGAACACACGTGTAGTCCCTCACCCAGTCAAATCATGAGCCTGTCCTGCAGAGTTAATGAGACGTGACTGATGGTGAACTGTTCCAGGAAGTGACCAGATGAACTCCCTAACCCATGCAATCCTATGGCGCCTGCCGCTGCTCCCGCCCCCTCTACCAACCAGCCACAATGGCATTGGGCAGGGGTGGGAGAGAGGTCTGAAGTGCAAGAGATGGGGAAGGAGGTCTCAGTGCAGACCAGGGATGCTCTAGGGAGCAACAGGTGGCCACCCCTGGTCCAGAACAGCCCACTTACCGGGAATGGGAGACGAAGTCGTACACAGGGATCTGGACTGTTTTCCCTTCGGTAATTTCTTTGAGTGTTTTGAGGATGAGTTCATTGTCAAGGGCATCTGAAAGATACCAAACTGTTAAAATGTTCCCCCCCTTTTTTTTTTGAATCAGTCTCACTCTTTTGTGCAGGCTGGAGTGGCATAATCATGGCTCACCATAGCCTTGACCTCCTGGGCTCAGGTAATCCTTCAGCCTCAGCCTCTCAAGTAGCTAAAACTACAGACACAGGCCAACATGCTCAACTTTTTTTTTTTTTTTTTTTTTTAAGGAGATGTGGTCTTGCTATGTTGCCCAGGTTGGTCTCGAACTCCTGGGCTCAAACGAGCCTCCCTCCTCGGTCTCCCAAAGTGCTGTGATTACAGACATGAGTCATCACAACCAGCCCTAAAATGTTCTTAATTTTAAAATAATGCCTCCTAGTCATACACAGGGCATCCTTAAAATTCTGTTTACAGATATATCATACCTGAAAGCATCATATTGCTCCCCAAGTCAGATTTCTACCCAAAGCAGAATGAAAGTTCCCTGTATCTCAAAACTAGATGTATGAACGGGTTCTGACAAACTGATTTCTTTTGTTCTGTAACATTCCATCCCTGGCTTCAGTTAGCTCTCTCTCCTCTCTCCAGGTTCTGCTGTTATCCTAGGACTGGCGTGTGCCTGGAAAGAGTACCCATGACTAGGACAGTGCAACAGGCAACTATGCCAAGAGGGTCTGATTCCAACCACAGTAAGAAACCCAAACCAGCTAAAGAGCAGCTCACTGACCTGGGGCTACAGGGCAGAAATCACTCCGGCAGCTGTTCATGTTCTACCCTATGTCTAACCCATCTTGAGTCACCCTTGCTCAGATACAGATTCAATCTGTATTTAATGAGCCAAGCGCCACATGAAGCATTTCAAGTTTCTTCTTTCACATAAGCTCCACATTAATAACACTGCAAGATTGCTATTATTCCCTATTTTATAGATAGAAATAAGACTCAGAGAAGTTAAGCGACTTCCTCACGAGCAGAAGAAAAGTACTCCCCTTACCCCAACACACACATACACACCCCTCCTCAATGGCCCAGCTCACCCGGGTGATCAAAGTTGAACTGGCCCTTCAGGGCTTTGGCCTTCTGCTCCGAGGTGAGGACACGGTAGAAGCTATCCTGGCTCACGATGACCACCTGCTTCTGGCGATAGTCCACCTCATTCTGCCCCAGGAGCTGCACGATCTTCGCACAGACGGAAGACTGTAAGGAGAGAAGAGAGCATCAAGGAATAAGAGAAAAGGCATGTGCGGCAGGGGGGATGTCCAGGGCGCCAAGTGCATGAATGCTCTCTAAGAAGAGGCTCGGGAAAGAAGAATCCAAAGGCTGCTATTGTGGGTGATAACGTGAAAGGCCAAGGGGGAAGGGGCTGCTTGATATGCCCACTGAGGGAGGTCTAGGGTACCCCAGAGTCCCCTTCTCCCTTCTTGGATATCTGCAGTAATGACAGGGAAGGAGGGCAGTGAGCGCTCCCTCCTCGTCCAGAAAAGCCTTTTCCAAAGTCACAGATGAAGGGCAAGGCTAATTTAGCCTTCCAGTTTGTGCACTGGTAGACAGATACACAAAGGCAGCAGAGAGTGGAGCGAGGGTACAGTGGTGACATGTAGGTGGGCCACAGGACCTCGGGACACGAGGTGACCGTGTACCAATGGGAAATCCCTCAACCCTACGCATCTCTTTCCATCAACAGAATAAAAAAACCACAGCCAGAGAGCTCAGCAAGTTACTGAGCAGGAAGGCCACGCTCCCAACTTTATTCCTACTTCTATTGGCTATTTGGCTCTAGTTCATAGCCATGGACTTCTCTTCACAAATGTATGCCACCATGTTCGGAGTGATGAGGGGTACAAATGTCACCAGCATGTAAAACAACATGGGGTGCCCCAGTGAAGAGTGGGGAAGCCAGTTCCAAGTGAACTCAAAGCTACAAGCTTTGAGGGTGGTGTTAGTAATACACACACCTGCCCTGTTTAGTCTCCAATCATATATGCTCTTTGGAAATGGAAAATTATAAAAACAAGTGCATGCAAGAGAAGGAGGCAGTGACAGGCTGTATCAAATAATCCTCTCTTTTTCCTTGGATAGACAGGATGAATTTAAAAATAAGAGCACCTATACTCCATAAACTCTAGAAGTCACACCTCAATCCTCACCACAGAACTAGTTGGCCTAATAAAATATGGAAAATAGCATATTTAGAGGTTTCAGGGCTCATCCTTAAAAATCTTACTACTGAACTGATTTCATCATTGATTTTAACAAAGAAAAACCACAAAATATTTTAAAGTTACAATTTTTATGAAGTTATGTATCTATTTCCCTGAGCACAAGGAAAACTGGCCATTCCTGTTACACAAGCCAATGCAAATAAACTGTTTTGTAGAAATACATCCGGCCATATGAGTTGGGACACACAACCAAATACATTTTTGGAGAAACAGCAATAGTTTTACTCAGTTGCTAGTAGTCTGAACACATTTTATTTTCATGACACTTATGAATACAGAAAAGTATTTAAAACTACTCTGGACTTTTAGACTATAGATATGCTCCTCCCAAGAAAAAAAATTCACAGGTAGGTAAAACTTGCACATCACGAACCAGATTCAAAAATGAAAATGCTAAAATAAAATATAAGTTTTTAAACATCTGTAGGCTCATAATTTCCTTTTCCTAACTAGCATCTGTTACATCCTAAGACTGTAGAAAGGTAAAGTCTATAACTATAGCCTTTTCTAGTAGACAGAATTTTTTCTAGAAATCCAAAGAATAAAAATGGTAAGAGCAATTCATGGAGCCAGATGAATATACAGTCTACCTGGTGATTCACATTATAGTCTTTTTTTATTTATATAAGTTAAAATACACTAAATGTTTTTCATATAAATAACCCCTTCACCACAAAAAGTATATTAAAAATTTATACCACCTAATTTTGCAGATAAATAATTATTTTCCTTGACCCAGCACAACCTAAGACAGAATGTACAATAGTCAATAAAATAGGTTAATGAGCATACGTGATTGATTCTGCAAAGTCAGTACTCAACACAATCCTTGATCAAGGATACAGTATGGTTATTTTGATGGTCCACAGCCACATGTCTTAGTCCTGGGTTTTCAAGGACCTGGATGGTGACCTTTCCCTTCCATAAACACACCACTGCCACCACCAACTGCTGACACCCTGTACCAAAGGCTCCATGACACCTACCCTGAGAAGTTACGTATGCTCTCCTTTCATGATGAGCAAACCCAGTTAAAGGACTTGCCTACAGTCACACAGCCCTGGCTCTTTGCCTCAACCTAGAGGCAGTAAGAAGTTCCAAGGCAGAAGCCAAAAGCCACCCGCTTCATACACACACACACACACACACACACACACACACACAGTTCCAGAAATTCTTATTATGCTCCAAAGAATCCAGCTGTTAGGAATCAGTAACTACAGGGCCCACCAACCACCAGATGTGCTGAACTATGAACTCCTTTTACAGAGACATACCATTCAGAAAGCCCCAGGAGCGGTCAAAGGCCCAACAGGCCCCTTCAGTTGGCAGCTTCCAGAAAGGTGGCTGTTGAGCCAATGCAGGGTCCTACATTGCTATAGAAAGGATATTTCTCTAAAACCTTCTCATTCAGAAGCCTAACCACCACCTCACTATGCTATTCCGTGTGTGTGAGTCTTTCAGGATCTGATTCTGAAGATCCATGCTCTTGTCTGATAGCATGAGATAAGCAAAACCAACAAACAGGGCCATCTACTCTTATCGCCTCCACCACAACACTTCACGGCTCAGAGTCAGAGGGAGCCCAAAGCTGGACAGTTCAGCCCTCAGTGGTGGCGGTGGCGGTGGCGGTGGCGGTGGCGGTGGCGGTGGCGGTGGCAGTGGCAGCGGCGGTGGGGGGTTTAAAGGCTTCAGCAGGGAGTGCCTCCTGGGGGAATGCGCTGGCATTCCTCACAGACCTTACAGAACAACTCAGGACCAGGTCTTTCTGCCCATCATTTCAGAATTCCATCAAGCTCTCTGATACCCTAGGTGAGCTGCTTTGGAATCCTAGGGAGGGTTGTGCAGAGGGAGAAGACGCTGGTACCCACAGTCTCGGGGTTAAACAGCTCATCAGTCCCAGTGAGGAGCCCTGACTGATCACTTTCTGTCCACTCTTCCAAATGGGAAACTTAACACAGCAGCAGTTAACACTGCAGAGGCCACGCTTGGCCTCCACAGCAGGAAGGGCCCATCTAGCTCCTTGGCTCTGGAACTGTGTGCAGGTCACATCAATTAATGCTGACAGTGGCTTCCCCTGTCACTACCATGAAGCAAGAAGCACATCATTAGCTTACATGGTGTCCACCTCAAAGGAAAAGCAAAGCAGCCCCCAGACATTACGTCATTACTTTGGGGCAGAGGCTGCTCCCCACGCAGCTCAGATGCTCTAATTTACAGGCATGAGAAAACCAAAGCACTACTTATTTGCCCCAGTAAAACTAGAAGCATGGTTAGAACCTGCTGACTCAATTTCCAATAAAACTGACTATGTGGCTGCAGTAGGGGAGTGTCACTCAAGTGCCTCCCTGGAGGTTCTGCAAGCCCATCTAGTTTTGAAGTCATGGATGGCCCCAGAATCCATGCACAGCTACAATGCAATTACCACCACCATCGCCACTACCACACCACACACACACACACACACACACACACACATACAATCTAAATTAGAAATTCATTAAATTACCTTTTTTAAATTCAGGGTCTCACCCTGTTGCCCAGGCTGGAATGCTGTGGCATGATCACAAGTCACTGCAGCCTCAACCTCCCGGGCTCAGGTAATCCTTCCGCCTCAGCCTCCCAAGTAGTTTCAAAATACAGGTACATGCCACTGCTCCCAACTAATTTCTTTTTATTTTTTGTAGAGATATGGTTTTGCTATGTTGCCATGCTGGTCTCAAACTCCTGGATTCAAGCAATCCTTCCACATCCACCTCCCAAAGTGTTGAGATTATAGGCAGGAGTCACTGCACCCAGTAGGTCAAGGCTGCAGTGGTCATGAGTGTGCCACTGCACTCCAGCATAGGCAACAGAGTCAGACTCTGACTCAAGAAAAAAAAAATGTCATAGACAAGGCCTTGTTCTCTCACCCAGGTTGGAGTGCAGTGGCGCAGTCATAGGTCACCATAGGCTCAACCTTCTGACCTGTCTCAGCTTCCCAAAGAGTGTGAGCCACTGCATCTAGCCTAAATTACTATTTTTGTTTTTTTCAAAGACAGGGTTTCACTCTGTCACCCAGGCTAGAGTACAGTGGTGTAATCATAGTTATACTGCAGCCTCAAACTCGTGGACTCAAGCAAGCCTCCCGCCTTAGTCTTCCAAGTAGCTGGGACTACAAGTGCATCCGACCACACCCAGCTAACTTTTTTTTTGGTAGAGACATAGTCTAGCTATGTTGCCCAGGCTGGTCTTGAACTTCTGGCCTCAGGTGATCTTCTCACCCTGGCTTCCCAAAGAACGGAGATTACATGTGTGAGCCATCACACTTGGCCTAAATGGCTATTTATTATAAGAGTCTCCAGTATCCAAAAGACAGCCACAGGTCAATCCGGTAACGTATGAGCTCCTAGAGCACAGGGACCAAAACTGTGACGCAGCTTTCATTTCCAAGGCCTAGAAGGGCTTGGCCTCTGGGGCTCTCACCCAACTGCCTGTTCATCAGAAATGTCTGAGTTCACCAGACTTGTCTTTTTTTTCTTCAGACCTGGAATGTCAGAAATATCATTTTTCCTGCCCATTCTTAGCATCACCCTTGATTTAGGGTACTCGCCCAAGGACTCCATCCTAAAGTTCATGAGATTCCTGGCAGAGCTGGCTAGCTATGTACTCAATCTCAGTTCCAGAGTTTTAGCTGGACACATGATTACATTTCCAGCCTCCCTCACCATTCCTTGTCACCATCCCTTGGCTAAGTTCTGGCCAATTAGATAAGCAGAAGTGTTAAGTGGCAGTTTCCTAGAATCTCCTTAAAGAATTAACTGTTCCGGCAGGGTGCAATGGCTCACATCTATAATCCCAGCACTTTGGGAAGCTGACACAGGAGAACTGCCTGAGCCCAGGAGTTTGAGACCAGCCTGGGCAACATAGCAAAACCTTGTCTCTACAAAAAAAATTTAAAAATTAGATGAGTGCAGTGTTGCATTCCTGTAGTCCCACCTACTTGGGAGG